ATACTCAGAACCTTCAGTGCAAGAACACTGGCTGACTTAACTGTGGCTACAAAAGACTGGAATAAGTCTGGACACCCACCCAGAGGATGCTGTTTGAATGGGTGATGGCATATGTGTGGAGTGAGACTCTGTGCAGCTCTTCCAAAGAACAAGATGGTTTGTGCACCACGATTAGCTATCTACTCAGAATGCTGTCCATTGTGTGCATGAGATCTTGTCTCAAAAATATCAGTTAACCAACTACAAAGTGTTTCTGCACTGTGGTCTCAAGCCCTTCCAACTCAATGCTGTGGTCTGTCTCTGAAAGAGGTGAGGAGTTGGCCCACTCATTCACTGTTTCTAAGGCACCTGCTTCTTTATTCCAATAATGCAACCTTGCAAAAACACAGACCTGTCCCTTCGTAGCATGTCAACATTCAGGCTCTCTTTGGTTAGCCTTGGCTCTGGTTAGCCTTCATGGGCTGTGCTTGTATTACAGTCTAGTCCTGGTGCTCCTCCATTCTTCTCTGTGTTATCCTCCTGAGATGGTTTCTGTGTGTTTTGCCGTCCCCATGGTGGGGGTGGGGGACATCAGTAGGATGCTGTTCACGTGAGTTATGGTCCAGTGATGGATACTACAAGCCTCTACTCTAACCTCACTCTTTGTTATTTATACACTCTGCACTAACAGGATGGCAAGCAGTTAGAACATTGCTGTAAAAACAAAATATTTACCCCTGGCAATGCCACAATGATGGGGACCCGTGAGATCTGGTCCTCCCTGGGCACAGAATGAATCCCTGCTGATGGCTGCCCCCATAACTTCCAGCTCATAGCACACCTGACAGATGTGTACCCCTTTCCCTCTCTCCCTGCTACAGCATCACTGTTGTTCCCTCTCCTTAATCAGTAAGTTTTGTGTCTGTTTTCCATGTCTGGCACAACCTTCCCCTGGAACAACCTTCCCCTGGAGCAACCTTCCCCTGGAAGGAAAGATGTGTTGTTGTAGGATAGTCCCTTGGTATTACAAGGGTGCTAGATTTTAGATGCCAAGGGAAGGACTTGGGGCCTCTCAACTGTGCTTACTATAGTGTGCATTGTGAAGTTCATCCAGTATGTCTGCCTTGGGGGACTTTTTTTTAAAAAATGAGTATTTTTTAAATGATACTCCTAGTCAACATGTCAATTGTGGAATAGAGTTTCAGGAATAACACATGAACTAAAACGTGAGTCTGGTTTCTAAACATCACCTTGGAGTCATTTATACTCTCATCAATGAGCATGTCTTTGGTGTTGGATTGCTCCTGAGAGTCTCAGGGTACCACAGATGGACCAGGTCTCACAATGGAGATGTTTTATGAGATCATCAAAGCTGTTGAAAGACAATGCAGCTTCCTCCATCTCCAAGAACAGAGCTTGACAGTAACATCTCAGAACAGATGTTTCCACAGCCTCCACATGTTTTTATTGGGTGGCACAAAAGTCTGTGTTATTCATGAAATGGTCTGTTAGAGAATTAGTTCCCCTGTGTGGGGGTCGTGGGAATATGTGTTGTATAAATTGATTTTACTTTTGGCAGGAGATGGGCCCTTAACTCATCCAGTCTGCATGGCTGGACTGTAACAAGTTCCAGTTTTCAGGCCCCAGAATCACAAAGGATGTAAACCAATGACATAGCCTAGCATCTTCCTTAGAGTATGTCAGGCTAACTAGTCAGACACCATCGTATCATTCTTAAAAATAGTAGGAGCCAAGTAAAAACTATAGAGCACAGGCAGAAGGTGGAGGCATCCTGTGGCTGGCTATTTACATCATCATCCCAATATAAGTTCACATCTACAGCTCACGGATGTTATTTTATATACCCATGTAAAAGGGAAGCTGCCATTCTGAGACACGGACGGCTGAGGACATGTTTCAGATCTCCTGAGACCTTAGTGTGACTATTCAGTGATGTAGAATAAGAGCACTGTTCATTTTCTTTCTAATGTATTTTGCAACTTATCCTGGTCTGTACTTTCTGCTCTGTCCAATAGGACAGACGTCAGCAGACCCAAGGGCCACCTCTGACCTGTCACCTGCTTCTATAAGTGGGCTGATGGGATCCCAGCTGCTCTCATTCATTGTAAATTTCCAGTGTCTGCTTTTATACTTTGTCACCAGAGGCCACTTAGCTAGTAGAACCTAAAATATTTACAAAATCTGCACCAATCCCTGCAATAGGAAGTCACATGCATACTGTGACTCAGCCCACGAAGAGGAGATATGATTCTAACAGTCAGGTAACTGAGGCAAAAGGATCACGGGGCCAGCCTAGGCTACGCAGCAAGACCCTGTCTCAGAAATAACACTGCAGAAGGAAAGAAGGCATATGTAAAGTTTTAGTAGTTTAGATTTAGAAGTCATTTGGAGACTTTAAGAGCTACAATTAATTAGTGTTAGGTAGCCTATCACAGGAGAGTACTTAAAATACACAGAGACAAACATGAAAATCAGAACGATACAAAATGATCTGAAAAGCATTCTAAAATCTTTTTCTGATGTAGAGTATGTTCAGATGTTAAAAGCTGTGCAGTATTTGGCTGCTGCTGTATTTGTTTCTTATCTCTCATCTGTGTGTGTTGGGTATCGGAACTCCACACGAGTGCATTTCTGGCCCTCCTGGACAATGGGGTGACAAGCACAGGCCAGGCTGTGGTGCTTAAATGCTAAATTATACTTGAGAAGATTAGTCTTACCAAGTCATAGACACCATAGAAGGATGACTCAACAGTGCCTGAAGAAGAAGAGTCATGCTGGGAGAGAAATGGATGCTGGGAGGGTAATGAATGCTGGGAGAGAAATGAATGGAGGAAGCTATACGAAGAAACCAAGGGCTAGGTATATGGCTTGGCAGAGGAGCTCATGCTCGGCATGTGCACACACACTAGATTCAGTTCCCAAAACCATAAGGAAGAAAAAAAGGACTGAGGATATTCTTCTACAAAGAGCACTAGCATAGTATACAGGAGGTCATGGGTTTAATTCCCAGAAACACATAACAACCCTTCTACAAAGCAGAATACTAGGTATCATGGCAAGCAGGGAGAGAAGGGAGGAAGGGAGGAGAGAAGGAAGGAAGGAAAGAATAAGGGAAGGAAGGAAATCTTAATTGTAAATATTGCTATTTCATGAGCACAATAGTCTACTTTGTCAAGATATAAGACACATTGGATATAAGAGATTTAGTGGAAACACTAGGGAAATGGCTCAGTTGGTGTGGTGCTTAGAGGCCCTGAATGTAATCCCAGAGCCCACATAAAAGACTGGATAAAATAGAGCATGCTGGGAAGGAGAGAAAAGGGCTTGCTGGCCACCTGGTGAGCCACACACAAACATGCATGTACAAAAAGAGTATGAAATAAGTGTGTGATGTTTTAATGCAGTGTAATTTTGACTTAACCCAAATCTGCTGATAAAATTGGCTTCACTTTTTCCTTTGTGCTAGTATGGCTACTAGAAAAAATATGCATAACTATTTTGAGTAGCTGCTAGCCACTTTATGAGTATTTGGGTTGCATACAAGTCCCTAAAACACCAGTCACAAATTAAACTTTAATCATAGACTTGAGCAGGTGAAATTTGCAGATTTTCATGGAACTGTTTCGTGATAGCTTCTAAATCTGTAAATTTCTTATCCATACAATAAATTATAAAATATGAATCACCATTGCAGGCAGTTGGGAATATTGGCAAATACCTGAAGTCTCTGTCAGGTGTTCTGTAGATCTTTGGCAAATGAATATACATTCTGATTCTCATGGACAACTAACTGCTTTGTTGTCCCATGGTATAGAGATCCCATGATATAGAGATCGTTTGTCTCAGATGCTTTCAAGTATGATTCTAATCTATCCCTTGGCTGGGCTGGCTCCTAGAAAGTCATTTGTGAGCTTGTCTAGAGCATCCAAGGGATGTGTTTTAAGTAGGCAGTCTCCTTTGTAGCTTTTGAACTAATTCCCTCCAGAGTCCAAACTTATCCACATCAGAACAGCTGATCCCACTACATCTTCAGTGTCACTCTGCCTTCCCACCAAGAGCTTTGGTGTCTTTCCCAACCTAAAGGTCCATGAACAGGCATTGGGTTCCCTCCCTGGCATATATCCAGAGCCCTTCCAACACACACACACACACACACACACACACACACACACACACTCCTACTCGATGGCAGTTTCACAGCAGTGGCACAATCTAAATCTAAATCTCCTCCCATTCCGTGTCTGTGCCCCTGCCCTTGCCTTGTGCTCTCTGGCTTCACTTTTAATTCTCAGCCAGGAAGTCCCAGTGGTGACTTAATGTTGCTCAGCAGTCACACTGCATCGTAAGTCCCCAACAGGCGCACGACAGTCTTCTCTCTTTGAACCTCCTGCATCTCCTCTGTCAACCTTGCTCCCCCACTCCAGCTGGAAACCTTGAATCAGGTTAGGGAGCTGTGTCCAGCTCGCACTGCTGCCCCTACTGTAGCTGGCGGGGGACTGCCCGTGCCCTGGCTGTCCCTTTTCATATCAGATGCTGTCTCTGAGCTACAGCCCGCCCTGATTTTATTCTGTTCTGAACAATAACGTAAATATTAATTCTGGCATGGTACAGGGCCTTAGTTTTAGAAAGTAGTATTAATAGTTATTAAAACTAAATGACAAGTAAGTTTACTGCTAAAGACAAACGGAGCTACTGTATATAGCAGACTACGTTTTCCCTTAGAGGTCTAGTGACATACAAACACACATTTTAGAATTTTAGAGCCCTGATAAGAAAGCCTGAATATGAACAGAAAAAGACAAAATTCAATTTGTTTTCATCTTCACACTGATTTTCAAAATTTGTGTAGATTCTAGTTTAACCAAACCTTCGGATATGGTCATCCTTTTTTTAAAATGTTAATCAATAGCAGTCTACGACAGAGAAGAGGATGTTGTCACCACGGTGACAGCTGTCCAGCATAAACACCTTACATCTCTTCTGCTTATCATGTGTTTTAGGACAATTCAAGCTGCTGGAACAAGACCGGGATATAAAGGAGCCGGTGCAGTATTTCAACAGTGTGGAGGAAGTGGCCAAGGCATTTCCTGAACGTGTGTACGTCATGGAGGAAATTACATTCAACGTGAAGGTAGCTCAGAAGAACCAGACACTTAACCCTCACTGAGATGCTGTAACATTCAAGTGTGTGGTACACTAGGTGTGCACATCTGTGCCTCCTAGGAACATTCTCCACCCATCTCAGTGGATGACCCAGCATCTATCCACACGCTGTATTTATCACCTCAGTCTTTTATTAGAACTTAAAACTGTTCATCTCAGAAGTAAAATTGCTGTGTTCATTTTTCTCATTAAAGAAGGAGGTATTTATTTTGGCTCACAGCTTGAGGGGGCAGTCCCATCGGGGTGGGAAAGTCATGGCAGCAGGTTGGAGTTCGAGGCAGCTGGCCTCATTACATCACAGGCAGGATGCAGACAGTGATGACTTCCCATGCTCAGCTCCCTTTCCTCTCATTCAGTCTGGGATTCCAGCCCATGGATTAGCCAGTTAATCCAATCTAGAAACTCCCTCATGGACAAGCCCAGAATCTTGTCTGCTAGCTGATTCTTATCCTGTCTTGTTCATAGACAATATTAAGCATCACAATTCCTAAGAAAATAAAAGATGTTTTTAACTTGAACTTCATCCTCCAATCTCTAACAGCTCTTTCACCAGAGCCTCTGATATGCTGGGTTTTCCACTCTTAGAAGCAAAAGACCTATGATGAATCAAATATCAACATTCCATTAAAAACAAACAATCAAAGAGGAACAGGAGAGCTCACAGCTCGTGTCCAGCGCCTGCACTGAGATCAGCACACGTGTCCTCCATTCACTGTGGATTGCTGTGTACGGAGAAACCTGATGTTCAGAACCCTGCCCAGAGACAGCCTAGTGTTGGCCATGCTTCCTTGGCCTGTTACTCTCAAAGGGACATGTGCTCCCATATATGAGCGAGCTCCTCTGGCCAGACTTGCTAGGGGAGCAGAGCCCTCCAACATGGGATCCAGTCATACCATTCACACACCTGTTCCATTTTGTCATCAGCACCCACAATCTCACTCAAACACCTTCAAGTGTCCACGCTGAAAGGATTTCCTGTTAGCCTTTTACACGACTATAAACAGGTCAAATGTCAGGAGGCGGCATGCCTGTTTCTTAGAACATCAGGCTATGAGGGGTTGGCCTAAGACAGCATCTTTGTCTCTGTGGGACACTCCGCAGGAAAAACAGGACCAGGTAGCTCCCAAGCAAACAAATGGTTCTGCCCATGACAATGGGGAGGGCAAGCCATTCTTCCCCAGTTCTGAAAGACGGTCACTGTGGTCTGCCCTCTGTAGTTTTATTATTATACTCAGTGAGGTTTTATGCTGTGTGAAATCTTCTACTATATACAAAATGTCTGTCTGTTTGTTTTTTAATTCTCCAGTGTCCCACTCTATAAGCCATCAATAGAACAAACCTTTATCTCCATGTTCATTAGAGCATATTTTTAACTCACTAAGATTCATTAATTCATAAAATATTAAATCTAGTTTTTTTGTTGCTGGTTGGTTTTGTTTTTGAAGTTGCATGGAGTTGGGGGTTGAACTGAGCAACACCAGTTTGAATGCTGCCACTGAACTGCCCCAGGAAGCCAACCTTGACTTCCTGCATGTTTTAATAAGTCTAAACCTTCCCCTTAGAACTTTCATTTCAAGTTAGCTAAATGAAAAAGTAAAAGTCAAGGTAACACTTTTAAATTCTTTTCTAAAAGTAATTTATCTCCTAAGTGGTGACAAGTCAGGCACAAAATCTTTTATGGCTTTTAAGATTAACATTCTATTTTTGGTCACAGATTGCTCATGTAAAATTTTGTGAGACATAGCCCTAATTAGTCTAGAACTCAGTAATGTAGTTCAGTCTGGCCTCGAACTCACAGAATTCCTTGTATATGATATTTTAAAAGATATCTTTCTAGAAGCTTTTTTTTTAAAAAAAAAAATTGTGGTAAATCATTAAAGACAGGCAGAGGAGATGGCTAAGTAGTAATACGCTTGCTGTGTAGGCATAAGGACCTCATCTGAGTTTGATTCCCCAGCATCCCTATAAAAGATAAGCATGGCCGTGCATGCCAGTAATCCCAGTGCTGGAGAGGCAGACAGGAGAATTTCCAGACTTGTTGGCAGGTCAGCCTAGCCAGTGGGTGACTTCCATGTTTAGTGAGAGATCCTGGCTCAAAAAAATATGGTAGAGAATGACAGAGGAAGATAATCAACCAATAAAGGAAACATATATTCATAGCATACAGAAGGACATCCCCCATCACACATTCATATGAGCAAACATACACAATACCAAAAAAAGTGTGTGTAATAGAGACGCCATCTACAAGTTTGAGGGCACAAATTTGAGGGAAACGTGAGCTAAGTAGGTTTTGATTGAGTTCCATGCTGTACAAGCATAGATATTTGATAATTTATAGAATTATTTAATACTTACAGAGTTTAAGAACCATCACATTGAGTTTGCATCACTCATTAAAATGTTCACTTCTATTCAAAGAACCATTGGTAGAAAATCTTGGGAAATTTGTATAATGAAATATACAGGAATTTGTGTGCTTAGTGAATGGATTGACTTCAGCTATAGGAATGCCGACTGCTACCCAAACTGAAGTTCAGTGCTGGGAATCATGGTTTTTAACTGACGGTAGACATGATATTGGTGTTGTGTGTAGACTTGGGCAGGGAATGAATGCCATGTTTGCTTATTGCATCTCCTGGAAAAAGGACAAAATGAAAATAGCACTATTATCTAGGCTCAAACAGAAGCTGTTAAACCTACACAGAAAAACTTCACCCTTTATTTTCCAGTTCAAAATGAAATAGGTGCTAAGAAGGCAGCTCAATGGCTAAAGCACTTGCCAGAGTTCAGATCCCTAGACCCTCCATAAATGCCAGCTGGGCATGGCAGCCCACCAGTGATTCCTGTGTCAGAAGGCAGAGACAGTTGATCCCTGATTATCAAGACTAGTCGTATCGGTGAGCTGTGCATTTGACTGAGAGTTTCTGACTAGGTGAACAGGTAGGAAAATGGTCATAGATAATTCTTTATATCAAACTCAAGCCTCCAGATGTACATGTGCATTCACATGTGTGTTTGCATACTGTAAGGAGTGGGGTTTTCCGCCTGCCACTGGTCTTCTACCACTGCCGCGCCAGCCCCAAATAACACACAGAGACTCTGTATTTGATATAATTCTGTTGGCCAGTTATTTGTTTCTTATCGGCTAGCTCTGTCTTAAGTATTAACCCATTTCTGTTTATCTATGTATTTCCACATGGTCTTACCGGAGAACCAGCTGGCGTCCTGCTCTCTCCAGACTCTCCATCTTGACTCCTCCTTACTACTTCCTCTTTCCTCCTTGTCTCCTAGTCCCTCCTATCTTCCTTTCCTATTGGCCAATAGTACTTAATTCATTAACCAGTATGAGAAACATATTTACAGAATGACATCTCCCATCAGCATACACATACATGAAAATAGAAAAAGAATGGCATAAACTAGGCCAATAAGATAACATGACTGAAATTATTCATAGTTATGAATTCAGGAGTAACTGGCTTCATAATTGTCCAAATACATACATATTCACATGCATAAATAAATATGCATTTTTATTGAATCCAAAATTGAAATGGACTCTTAATAATTTGAAGTAATACCAAATATATTAACATAACAGGGTTGGAAATACAACTCAGGAGTAAAGTCTTGCCTTGCCTGTGTTAGGCCCTAAGTTTACTCCTCAGCACTGCAAAATAACAATCCATAAGAACAGCAACCTTAGTTCTGTCTTTTGTCTAAGACTATAGTAAAATTTTAATTAAGTAAGCATAGTGAATAGTACCATAGCTATCCACACTTACTTAGAAATGAAGTGTCTTTGTTTCATTTTATACTTGATACCAAGTGTCAGGATGCAGCTCAATCTGGCCTTGAGCTCACAGCAATCCTCCCTCCTCAGCTGCCTGGAACTGGGACTATAGGTGTGCCACCACACTTGCCAAGCATTTCTTCTAGCCTAACATTGATAAAGGGAACTTGTCTTTAAAAGGTACCTTGCTGCATTTAAAATTATTGACCTGATTGCCCTATCATTGGTGAACTGCACAAAATGGGTTTGCATGTGTATTGAGCTGGTTAACTACCAAATGTATTTAGAACTCCTACTGTCTGTCCAGGACTGCTCGCAATGAGTATGCAAGTGCCCGTCTTTGGGCAGACAGCCTAGAAAAGGAAGACACTAAATAAACCAATGTTTATCCTAGCTCCATGTAAAAATGCGGCTACACAGATTTCAAGCTTGGAGAAAGGTTGAAGTTGGGGTGTACATGTACTGCCCCTCACCTTTGGAGGGTATTTGAAACCCTGGGTCTAGTTGTATTGACCTGCAACAGCTGCCCTCAGTGGCTGGTAATTTTTTCCTGGGACACACTGGAAGTGTCTGTATGTAACTTTGTCATGATTATGGTACAGAGGATGTTCCTGGTACCCAGTATGTAAAGGCCAGGATGCTCCTGAGAATTCACCGTGGATAGCAATGAAGAGTTGTCCATTCCAAAACAGCATGAAGACCCAGGCTGAAAAACCATAACTTAGAGATCAGAGGGCTCAGGCCGAGACCTGGAGCACCAGAGCGTCCAGGAGAGGAGAAAGAAATGAGCCCTCAGTGAGGTAAATGCCAGAAGGGAACTGTGGTGTCCTCAAAGCCAGGTTTCCAGGATAAATGAGCAACTGAACCATACAAAGCTTGACATGGTTGTGCATACCTGTCATCACAGCTCAAGAGAGGTGGAGGCAGGAGAATCAGAAGTTCAAGATTATGCTCAGTCACAGCTCAGAGTCAGCCGGGGTTATGTGAGACCCTGTCTGGAAAACAAGAACTAAAGTGTTCATGTCTTTAGAAGAGCATCCCCACCTGCCTTCAACATATTTTTCCCTTTATCAGCTTTAGGTCTCCATGATAAACATTTTTATTAGTGTGTGTGTGTGTGTGTGTGTGTGTGTGTGTGTGTGTGTGTCTAGGTAGGCCAGAAATGGGAGTCA